TATGTATACAAGCCACAGCAATATTAACGTGTGTTAAAAAATGAGACCACACAAGCAAAGAACATGTTTTATTGAAATAAGATCAACACACAAAAAAAGGGGAAAATACTTTATTTGTAATCAATTGTCTTTCTTTCTTTCTTTCTTTTTTCTTTCTTTCATTCCTTCCTTCTTTCCTTCTTTCTGTATTTCCTTCTTTGTTTCTTTCTTTAAGTTTTAAACCTTATAAAACTGGCATAAATTTTCTAAATCCAAACCCATTGTATTATTATAACTGTTAATATTTTATTTAAAGTCAATATTTTATTATTGAGCCGTATGCTAGAGGTTCAACCTGATCCTGTTTTTGCTCTATTTCATGTTCTTGTATCATTTTAACCTTTAAATGTCTGAAATAAACTTTTTAGGTTGGATTTTAAAGTAAGAATACAACAACAACAAATTGTTTTATATCAGAACTGTTCTTTTTCAGTTCATTCTTTTAACCTATACACGGACAAACAAGAATTTAGACAATATGCATTTGAAAAATGATATTTAAAATTTGATCTTTCATGAATATTTGTGGATTAACACCACAAATTGAGTCGTCTAAAACTGCACATAGATTGATCAGAAATCACATTAATCAGAAATCACAGATATCTTTAAAAAGTGACAAACACAATTTGTTTCTGACGTTACTGTAATACTAATAAATTATTTCTTTAATGAAACTCTTTCATCCCAACATTCAAATACTAAACAAAAAGTAATTTCCTGCATCCTAAACAATCTTTTATTTGGAATTTTATCAAAATTTCTGTAATAAACTTGGACAAACAATTATCTTAATATGACAGCTGATCTTGTCACGATGAACTCACCCTGCAGGAATGATGTGTCAGACAGCAGCTCATGATCTGCAGTGAGAATTTACAGTCAGACTTTCTCATTGACATCAGGTTTTAATGTTTACTTTTACTTTAGTGAAGCTGAAATCTGTAGATATTGTAACACAAAGTAATTTACAGCCAATGAGGTCTTATTTGCATTATATGTATCTGAAATATTAATTTTAGCCAAATCACAAATGAAATGTGACTAAAGGAGCAGTGGCAGTGTTTTGTCCTCCCTATGACGAATGAAACAAATGTAAAAATGAAAAATGATGAAAACATATTTTAAGAATTGGATTCCAATAAAAACATACCAGGCGTGCAGTCCGGCTGCTGATGTCCTGCAGGTCGGTTCTGGCTGATGACTCCAGTTGGATTGAGCGCCTTTTTCCCTCGAA